ATGAGGCCAATCCAAGAATGGCAGTCTATCCCACACTGAGCACTATCGAAATCTGATTTTGGTCTGTCTTCCTTGCTACTGGCTACCCTTCTCTGTCTCTTCGCTTCCGATTTCTTGGCAAGTGACTCCTTGAACTTGGAGATCCTCTCTGAACCGACTGTCCCCAGGTTGAACGGTCTGCGGTCAGTGTTTGCCACGTAGCAAGATCGACGTCCAAGGTTTTCAGGTCCCTCTTGCATATGTCTTTGTACCGTAGCTGGGGTTTGCCTGTTGGACGCTTTCCCTGTGTCAGCTCTCCATACAGGAGAGCCTTGGGGATCCTGCTGTCGCCCATTCGCACCCCGTGCCCGAGCCAGAACATTCGTCTCTGCTTCAGCATTGTGTACATGCTGGTGATTCAAGCTCTCCCCAAGACGCTGTTGTTTGTCACCTTGTCCTGCCAGGCGATGTCCAAGATGTGTTGGAGGCAGCGCATGTGGTAGGCATTCAGCTGTCTTTCCTGACGAGCGCGGAGTGTCCATGACTCACTGCAATATAGGACAGTGCTCAGGACACAGGCTCTGTAAATCTGGATCTTTGTATACTCAGCTTATTGTTGGCCCAAACTCTCTTTGTCAATCGTGACATGGAAGTAGATGCCTTACCTATACGTTTGTTGAGCTCCGTATCAAGAGAGAGGGACTCAGAGATTCCCAGGTACCTGGAGCCCAGGTACAAGAAGTCGTGAACGACTTCCAGTTTGCAATCGGAGATGCCGATGTCAGGTGGGGAGTCCACTCCTTGCCCAATGACCTGTGTTTTCTTCAGGCTCATGGTGAGTCCGAAAGCCTGACAGGTCTCGCTGAAGCGGGTCATGAGCCGTTGGAGGTCTTCGGCTAACTAGGCGATGACTGTTGCGTCATCAGCAAAAAGGAAGTCGCGCAGACACTTCACCTAAATTTTTATCTTGGCTCTCAGCCTGGCGAAGTTAAAGAGCTTTCCATCCGACTGATCCGGAGGTAGATGCCTTCCGTGGTAAATCCGAAGGCGAGCTGCAGCATGACTGCGAAGAAAATTTCGAATAGGTTTGGAACCAGGACGCAGCCCTGACTCCACTTTGGATGTCGAAGGCGTCTGATGTTAAGCCGTCAAAGACCACGGTGCCCGTCATGTTCTCGTGGAAAGATCTAATGATGCTGAGGAGCTTGTGTGGGCATTCGATCTTGCGGAGGATCTTGAACAGGCCATCCCTGTTCAATGATCTACAATGAGGTAGATCAATGATCACACAATGATCACAATAAACAGAAGGAACGACTAAAGGTGTACTACAATGGTCACGAAAAACAGAAGAAATGACTAAGTGTGTAGTACAATGGTCACAATAAGCAGCGTAAACGACTATTGGTATTCTATAATGGTCACAATAGAGAAGGAAGACTAACCATGGTGACAAGTGTCGTTCATAGCTTCACTTCCACATTAATCCTTCACAAAATCTTGGTTGATCAATATTAAGTGTATAATACAATGGTAAAAATAGTACAATTTGTACTACCTCGCATACAGAGATCCAAGGTCGTTAATCCAGCCGCCAAACTCCCTGTTTATGAATGAAAAGCGATTTATACACGACTCACAACTGATACCGTCCGAAAACATCTGGAACAAGTGCTTCGCTCACGTCCTCTGTTCGAACCACAGTTCTATAAATAGCCCGTCCTCCAAACAAAGACCCAAAACTGATTCCATCCACCCGCCAAACCCCTGTTTATGAATGAAAACGGTTTATATACAACCCGTCCTCGACTCAAGTCCATTACATTCAGCGGTCGACCCCACAGACGCATTCATAAATTTTAACATGCTGTTCATTCAAAACGGGAATTTTCTCAAGTATAAATTAATATTATAATATATTGGCATATTGTGTATATATAGGCATAGGATAGGTTAGGTCAGGTGTTTAGGTTCTGTTGGCGATTATTTGCATTTGTAGTACGTGGGTGAAGCATTTATAGCGTTGTGATTCGAACAAAATTCGTCAGTAAAGCACTTGTTCCAGATATGTTCGAACGTCAGCAGTTGTGAGTCGTGTGTAAAGCGCTTTTCATTCATAAACAGGGGGTTTGGCGGGTGCATGGAATCACTTTTGGATCTTTGTTTGGAGGACGGGCTGCAAGTCCATTACATTCAGCGGTCGACCCCACAGACGATTCATAAATTTTAACATGCTGTTCATTCAAAACGGGAATTTTCTCAAGTATAAATTAATATTATAATATATTGGCATATTGTGTATATATAGGCATAGGATAGGTTAGGTCAGGTGTTTAGGTTCTGTTGGCGATTATTTGCATTTGTAGTACGTGGGTGAAGCATTTATAGCGTTGTGATTCGAACAAAATTCGTCAGTGAAGCACTTGTTCCAGATATGTTCGAACGTCAGCAGTTGCGAGTCGTGTGTAAAGCGCTTTTCATTCATAAACAGGGGGTTTGGCGGGTGCATGGAATCAACAGATCTTTGTTTGGAGGACGGGCTGTTATACACGAGTCAAACTGATTTCGTTTGAACACTTCCAGAACAAGTGCTTCATTAATGAATTTTGATCGAATCCAGCCCGTCCTCCAAACAAAGATCCAAAAGTGATTCCATGCACCCGCCAAACCCCCTGTTTATGAATGAAAAGCGGTTTACACACGACTCACAACTGCTGACGTTCGAACATATTAGGAACAAGTGCTTCACTGACGAATTTTGTTCGAATCACAACGCTATAAATGTTTCACCCACGTACTACAAATACAAATATTCGTCGACAGAACCTAAACACCTGACCTAACCTATCCTATGCCTATATATACACAATATGCCAATATATTATAATATTAATTTATACTTGAGAAAATTCCCGTTTTGAATGAACAGCATGTTAAAATTTATGAATGCGTCTGTGGGGTCGACCGCTGAATGTAATGGACTTGAGTCGAGGACGGGTTGTGGACTTGAGTCGAGGACGGGTTGTCGAATCACAACGCTGTAAATGCTTCACCAACGTACTACAAATACAAATAATCGCTAACAGAACTTAAACACCTAACCTAACCTAACCTAACCTATACCTATAAATGCACAATATGATAATATATTATAATATTAATATATATATATGAGAAAATTCCTGTTTTAAATGAACAGCATGTTAAAATTTATGAATGCGTCGGTGGGTCGACCGTTGGATGGAATGGACCGCTAGATGAAATCATTTTATTAAAGGCAAGTAGTTCAGGTGGTGTGGTCTTCTGGTGGAAATTTTGTGGATCAAACTTACAATTTAACTTAAACCTAATTACAGAAATGTGCAGAGATGTTAAAGTGCATTATAGCAGGACATACACGTGTGCCCTAGATGTTAAAGTGTATTATAGCAGGACATTCACGTGTTCCCTAGATGTTAGAGTGTATTATAGCAGGACATTCACGTGTTCCCTAGATGTTAGAGTGTATTATAGCAGGACATTCACGTGTTCCCTAGATGTTAAAGTGTATTATAGCAGGACATTCACGTGTTCCCTAGATGTTAGAGTGTATTATAGCAGGACATTCACGTGTTCCCTAGATGTTAGAGTGTATTATAGCAGGACATTCACGTGTTCCCTAGATGTTAGAGTGTATTATAGCAGGACATACACGTGTTGCCATGATTTTAATGTGTGTTATTGCAGGACATACACGTGTTTCCATGACGTTAAAGTGTATTACAGCAGGACATACACGTGTTGCCGTGATGTTAGTGTATTTTAGAAGGACATACACGTGTTCCCTGTAACTTGGGAACACATAAACATTCATAACACAAGAGGTCTGTCAGATGTCCATGAGGGCTCAGCTTTACATAACTATGTTAGTGAGACCAATCATACAATTATATGAGGTAAATGATGCATAATTTATCCCTAACACTGTTTGTTGCTTCAAAAGGATAATATTAATATCAACTTTTATAAACAATAATTCAAATTCTAATATCTCCTGAGGGCAGTGATTACCAGATTTAGCGAGCGATTATGTAACAAGGAGGTTACATAACCTATTGCTTAGGTAGTTAACCTATTGCTTACACCTCCCCCCCCACCCTGGACACCTGACTTTACGCCATAGAAGAAGCCGTAATCCTCCAACCCCTCCTCACACTAGGCTGGTTAATGCAGCGGCCGTCCTCACACAAGGAATAGTAAAGCAGCGGCCGTCCTCACACTAGACTGGCTAAAGCAGCGGCCGTCCACACACTAGGCTGGTTAAAGAAGCGGCCGTCCGCACACTAGGCTGGTTAAAGCAGCGGCCGTAATTCCCCAGAAGCATTCATAATTTTAATATACTGTGTATTAAAATTAGGTTTGTTCTCATATATATATTAACATTATAAAACATTAAAATTCTATGAATAGCTAGAAGTAGGTCAGGTTAGGTGTTCAGGTTCTGTTGGCGATTATTTATATTTGAAGTATGTGGGTCAAGCATTTATAGAATTGTGGTTCGAACAGAGGACGTGAGCGAAACACTTGTTCCGGAAGTGTTCGAACGGCATCAGTGTAAAACGGAGGGCTCACAGTGGGACCAGTGTGAATGTGAGTGTGAACCAGGTACTCACGTTGGGGCTAGTGTGAGGGTGAGTGTGAACCACATACTCATGGTGGGACCAGTGTGAGGGTGAGTGTGAACCAGGTACTCATGGTGGGACTAGTGTGAATGTGAGTGTTAACCAGGTACTCACGGTGGAACCAGTGTGAGGGTGAGTGTGAACCAGGTACTCACGGTGGGACCAGTGTGAGGGTGAGTGTGAACCAGGTACTCATGGTGGGACTAGTGTGAATGTGAGTGTGAACCAGGTACTCACAGTGGAACCAGTGTGAGGGTGAGTGTGAACCAGGTACTCACGGTGGGACCAGTGTGAGGGTGAGTGTGAACCAGGTACTCACGGTGGGACCAGTGTGAAGGTGAGTGTGAACCAGATACTCACGGTGGGGCCTGTGTGAAGGTGTGTTTGAACCAGGAAGCTGTGAGTATGAACTCTGGGAGCGGTTTGTCGGGTGAAGGATCTGCTCCTGTGATGACCACAACCTGAGAAGAACAATCGAATTATTGTCGACATAAGAATAAAAATTTACAATTATTTGAAAACAGATTTTGTTTTCAAAATTATTGTTTACAGCACCAGCCTTTACCCTGACTAGTTTACAGCACCAACCTTCACCCTGAAATAGTTTACAGCACCAAATCTCACCATGACATAGTTTACAGCACCAGCCTTCACTCTGACAAAGTTTACCGCTCCAGCCTTCACTCTGACATAGTTTACAGCACCAGCCTTCACCCTGACACAGTTTACAGCACCAACCTTCACCCTGACATAGTTTACAGCACCAACCTTAACCCTGACATAGTTTAAAGCACATACCTTCACTCTGACATAGTTTACCGCTCCAGCCTTAAATCTGACATTGTTTACAGCACCAGCCTTCACCCTGACATAGTTTACAGCACCTGCCTTCACTCTGACATAGTTTCCAGCACCAACCTTCACTCTGACATAGTTTACAGCACCAGCCTTCACCCTGACATTGTTTACAGCACCAACCTTCACTCTAACATAGTTTACAGCAACAACCTTCACCCTGACATAGTTTACAGAACCAATATTCACCCTGACGTAGTTTAAAAATCCAGCCTTCACTCTGACATAGTTTAAAGCCCCAGGATTCACCCTGACATAGTTTACAGCACCAACCTTCACCCTGACATAGTTTACAGCACCAACCTTCACTCTGACATAGTTTACAGCTCCAGCCTTCACCCCTGACATAGTTTACAGCACCAACTTTCATCCTGACATTGTTTACCGCTCCAGCCTTCAATCTGACATAGTTTAAAGCACCAGCCTTCACTCTGACATAGTTTACAGCATGACCCTCGCCCGACCTAGTTTACAGCACCAGCCTTCACCCTGACATTTTTTACAGCACCAACCTTCACCCTGACATAGTACAGATTACAGCACCATACTTCACTCTGACATAGTTTACACCTCCAGCCTTAACCCTGATATAGTTTACAGCACCAGCCCTCACCCTGACATAGTTTACAGCACCAGCCTTCACTCTTACATAGTTTACAGCACCAAATTATACCCTGACATAGTTTACTGCATCAACCTTCACCCTGACATAGTTTACCGCTCCAGCCTTCACCGTGACATAGGTTACAGCTCCAACCTTCACTCTGACATAGTTTACAGCACGACCCTCGACTGACCTAGTTTACAGCACCAGCCTTCACCCTGACATAGTTTACAGCACTAACCTTCACCCTAACATAGTTTACGGAACCAGCTATAACCCTGACATAGTTTACAGCATCGACCATCACCCTGACATAGTTTACAGCACTAGCCTTCACCCTGACATAGTTTACAGCACCAGCCTTCACCCTGACATTGTGTACAGCACATACCTTCACTCTGACATAGTTTACAGCACCAGCCTTCATCTTGACATAGTTTACAGCAACAACCTTCACCCTGACATAGTTTACAGCACCAGCCTTCACCCTGACATAGTGTACAGCACCAGCCTTCACCCTGACATAGTGTACAGCACCAGCCTTAACCCTGACATAGTTTTAAGCACATACCTTCACTCTGACATAGTTTACAGAACCAACCTTCACTCTGACATAGTTTACCGCTCCAGCCTTAAATCTGACATAGTTTATAGCACCAGCCCTCACCCTGACATAGTTTACAGCACCAGCCTTCACCCTGACATAGTTTACAGCACCGGCCTTCACGCTGACATAGTTTCCAGCACCAACCTTCACTCTAACATAGTTTCCAGCACCAACCTTCACCCTGACATTGTTTACAGCACAAGCCTTCACCCTGACATAGTTTACAGCACCGGCCTTCACCCTGACATAGTTTCCAGCACCAACCTTCACTCTAACATAGTTTCCAGCACCAACCTTCACCATGACATTGTTTACAGCACAAACCTTCACTCTGATATACTTTACAGCACCAGACTTCATCCTGACATAGTTTACAGCACCAACCTTCACCCTGACATAGTTTACAGCACCAACCTTCACCCCTGACAAAGTTTCCAGCACCAGCCGTCACTCCGATATAGTTTACAGCACCATTTTTCACTCTGACATAATTTACAACAACAACCTTCACCCTGACGTAGTTTAAAACTCCAGCCTTCACTATGACATAGTTTACAGCCCCAAGATTCACCCTGACATAGTTTACAGCACCAACCTTCACCCTGGCATAGTTTACAGCACCAACCTTCACTCTGACATAGTTTACAGCTCCAGCCTTCACCCTGACATAGTTTACAGCACCAATTTTCATCCTGACATAATTTACCGCTACAGACTTCAAACTGACATAGTTTACAGCACCAGCCTTCACTCTGACATAGTTTACAGCATGACCCTCGCCCGACCTAGTTTACAGCACCAGCCTTCACCCTGACATAGTTTACAGCACCAACCTTCACCCTGACATAGTACAGTTTACAGCACCATCCTTCACTCTGACATAGTTTACAGCTCCAGCCTTCACCCTGACATAGTGTACAGAACCAGCCTTCACCCTGACATAGTTTACAGCACCAGCCTTCACCTGGACACACTTTACAGAACCAGCCTTCACTCTTTCATAGTTTACAGCACCAAATTATACCCTGACATAGTTTACTGCATCAACCTTCACCCTGAGAAGTTTACAGAACCAGCCATCACCCGGACTAGTTTACAGCACCAACCATCGCCCTGACATAGTTAACAGCACCAACCTTCACTCTGACATAGTTTACCGCTCCAGCCTTCACCCTGACATAGTTTACAGCTCCAACCTTCACTCTGAAATAGTTTACAGCTCGACCCTCGACTGACCTAGTTTACAGCACCAGCCTTCACCCTGACATAGTTTACAGCACCAGCCTTCACCCTGACATAGTTTACAGCACCAGCCTTCACCCTGACATAGTGTACAGCAGCAGCCTTCCCTCTGACATAGTTTACAGCACCAACCTTCACTCTGACATAGTTTACAGCACCAGCCTTCATCTTGACATAGTTTACAGCAGGAACCTTCACCCTGACAGTTTACAGCACCAGCCTTAACCCTGACATAGTTTAAAGCACATACCTTCACTTTAACATAGTTTACCGCTCCAGCCTTAAATCTGACATAGTTTACAGCTCCGGCCTTCACCCTGATATAGTTTACAGCACCAACCTTCACTCCGACATAGTTTATAGCACTAGCCTTCACTCTGACATAGTTTACAGCACTAGCCTTCACGCTGACATAGTTTACAGCACCAACCTTCACTTTGACAAAGTTTACAGCACCAGCCTTCTCTCTGACATAGTTTACAGCCCCAGGATTCACCCTGACATAGTTTACAGCATCAACATTCATCTTGACATAGTTTACCGCTCCAGCCTTCACTCTGACATAGTTTACAGCTCCAGCCTTCACTATGACGTAGTTTACTGCACAACCTTCACCCTGAAATAGTTTTCAGCACCAAACTTCACCTCTGACATAGTTTACCGCACCAGCCTTAACTCTGACATAGTTTACAGCTCAAGCCTTAACTCTGACATAGTTTACAGCACCAGCCTTCACTCTGACACAGTTTACAGCACCAGCCATCACCCTGACATAGTTTACAGCACCAACCTTCACCCTGACATAGTTTACAGCTCCAGCCTTCACTCATAATGAACATAATGAACAGCGACATAATGAACAGCGCCATCCTTTTCCTTACAAAGTTTACAGCACAAACCTTCACTATGACATAGTTTAGAGCTCCAGCTTTCACCCTGATATAGTTTACAACACCAGCCCTCACCCTGACATAGTTTACAGCACCAGCCTTCACCCTGACATAGTTTACTGCACAACCTTCACCCTTAAATAGTTTACAGCACCAAACTTCACCCCTGACATAGTTTACCGCACCAGCCTTCACTCTGACATAGTTTACAGCACGACCCTCGTCCGACCTAGTTTACAGCCCCAGCCTTCATCCTGACATAGTTTACAGCATCAAATTATACCCTGACATAGTTTACTGCATCAACCTTCACCCAGAGAAGTTTACAGCTTCAGCCTTCACCCTGACTAGTTTACAGAACCAGCCATCATTCTGACTAGTTTACAGCACCAACCATCGATCTGACATAGTTAAGAGCACCATCCTTCACTCTGACATAGTTTACCGCTCCAGCCTTCTCCCTGACATAGCTTACAGCTCCAACCTTTACTCTGACATAGTTTACAGCACGACCCTCGACTGACCTGGTTTACAGCACCATCCTTCACCCTGACATAGTTTACAGCAATAACCTTCACCCTGACATAGTTTACAGAAACAGCTATCACCCTGACATAGTTTACAGCATCAACCATCACCCTGACATAGTTTACAGCACCAGCCTTCACCCTGACATAGTTTACAGCACTAGCCTTCACCCTGACATAGTGTGCAGCACCAGCCTTCACTCTGACATAGTTTACAGCACCAACCTTCACTCTGACATAGTTTACAGCACTAGCTTTCACTCTGACATAGTTTACAGCACCAACCTTCACTCTGACATAGTTTACAGCACCAGCCTTCACCCTGACATAGTTTCCAGCACCAGCCGTCACTTTGACAGAGTTTACAGCACCAACTTTCACTCTGACATAGTTTACAGCAACAATCGTCACCCTGGCAAAGTTTACAGCTCCAGCCTTCACCCTGACATAGTTTACAGCCCCAACAATCGCTCTGACATAATTTACAGCACCAACCTTCACTCTGACATAGTTTACAGCACTAGCCTTCACCCTGACATAGTTTACAGCACTAACCTTCACGCTGACATAGTTTACAGCACCAACCTTCACTCTGACATAGTTTACAGCACCAGCCTTCACACTGACATAGTTTACAGCCCCAGGATTAACCCTATCATAGTTTACAGCATCAACTTTCATCGTGACATAGTTTACCGCTCCAGCCTTCACTCTGACAAAGTTTACAGCTCCAGCC